CCCTCCCCTCCAGTTCGCTCCTCTCTTTGAAAAGTAAAAGAAAAATTCTTTCATTGGTATACAATCCCCCCTGTACCCCACCCACCTCCCCATGTACACCGCACTATATAACCTTAATTCTGGACTCTTGTGATAACCATAATACCCTATCATATATCGCTTTTATATTGTTCTCTCCCTCATCTGTTTCAAAGCAGAATACATAATTTATCCAGTTTTTCTCAGTCTTACCCCAACCCTGATGTCAGTCCCATTCTACAACAGTGGCACCATGCAGTATTTGTCCTTTTGTGACTAAGCTATTTCACTCAGCATAATGTCCTCCAGGGTCACCCATTTTGAATAATATTGCATGAGTTCCTTGTTTTTCAATGCAGTGTAGTATTCCATTGTATGAATATACCACAGCTTCTCTATCCATTCATTTGTTGATGGGATAAATTTTTATTTTATACTGATTTGCTTACCTACTTTCATTTTTTAAAAAAAGGTTTTGTGGGGTTTTGTTTGTTTGTTTTTGTTAAGGCACATGGTTCAAATCTGCCAGCTGCTCCACAGGAGAAAGATTCGCAATCTCCTCCCTCCTGATAAACTGCCTCTGAAAACCCACAGGAGGGTCAGCGATTGGTTGATTCCAACTTCACGGTATACTACAACAACAACAACAACCTATCTTGACTCTTTCAAGTTATCATCCTGTCCCTTCACTATGGAAAACTTTCTTTGACACCCTAAGTCCACTGCAGTGCATCACTTTTCATGATATAAACATTTTTGTTTCTTTCTCTTCCTTCCTTTCTTTTTTCTTCAGTGCTGGCCATCCTCACTGGGTTGCTTCTCATTCATAAAGCCTATCTAAAAGGCTGTATCTCTGGCAATATGAATTCACCAGCCCCTGCAAGGGAAAATGATAGGTAATCTCCTCCTGGGCAATTTACAGTCTTGAAAACCTCAAAGGAGGTTCAACTATGAGTCGTTTATAACTACAACAGTGAATTTAAGTGAAGGGATCTAAGATGGGTAGGGTGGAAACTGAAACACATAATCTTCACTACTCCTAGCCTGAGAGTTCTCTAAGTAGGATGAATTTTTCTCCACGTTAAAAGCATTACATTGTAGCACTGATGACAACTTTATTTTTATGTCTATGGTGAGTTTTTAATAACTAGCCCCTGATTCCAATATATGTGGACTTAACTCCTTTCTCACTTTCTAAACTCATCTCAGTTAGAAATCAGTCTGAGTTTTTGGGATGTGAAAGGAATCCTACTGAAACAGCAAACTTCCTAAGTCCCAGGACCCCACCATTCCCAGCTTTATTTTTCCCTATAGAATTTATCGTCATTTTCACATTATCTAACTTCTTAAGTTATTTAACTAAATGCTACGTAATTACAAGCTTCATGAAGGTGGAGTTTGGTTTACTTTTATTTCCCTTTAACTACAATAGATACTCCAACATATTTATTTACTCAGCACATGAACTAGAATTTCATCATCTGTTTTGCAGATGAGAAATATACCAAGCCAGGGTTTATCAATCATCGTACAGTGATAAAGATCAAAAAGTTGTTTAAAGGCATTCATCTAAATCTGTTGCCCAGAAGAAACAAGAATTGGGTGTGTTGCCAGACGCGGTGGAGGGAAGGTGGAGTGGTACTTGGCGTTGATTTTGGAGTTTGGGTTCCACCGAGGGAGGGTAGAGTCAGAGTGAGGAGCCCTTTCCCCTCTGCATGCTGAGTGAGTGCTGTGTCGCGGGAGGCCTGGCGCCGGAAAGAGAAGGTTCCCAAGTCCAGACGCCTTTGACAGCAGGCTTGCGCTGCAAGGCCACCAGGAGAGAGGAAAAGCTGGAGCCAAGCCCTCCGACCACCGTGCGCAGCCAAATCGGTGAGGCGCCTGCGGGCTCCGAGCCGCGAGGCGTTTGCCTTCCTGAGGAGGAGGGAAGAAACCAGTCCCCAGACGCTGCGCTGAATCTTCTCAGATCAGGACTGGCGATTTGGGAAAGGCCAAGTTCACCTGTATCTATCTGTATGCTGAGCAAACGATTCGAGAAGATGGGCTATCATGAATGTGGCGTCATAATTTGAGAGAAAACCTGCCTTCTGTATATGGCAAAACCTTGCTTGTTCAAAGTGAAGAGGACTTGCACTTGCTGCAGAAGATCAAAGATTACAGACGTCAAAATGTATTACATCTCAATGTTAAAACAGAAATCTTCACCACCGGACCAACAGGTAACATCATAATAGATGAAGAAAAGATTAAAGTTGTCAACAATTTAGTTTTCTTGGGTCCACAAGCAACATTCTTGCTACCAGCAGCCAAGAAATCAAAAGACATGCTGCACTGAGAAAATTTACTGTCAAGGACCTAAATCATTAAAATTTACTGTCAAGGACCTAAATCATAAAAGTGCAAGGGTTTAAAGACCAAGGTGCATCTGGTCCAAGCCATGGTATTTTTCTATTGTTTCCTATGCATTTGAAAGTTTGGCAATGAATAAGGATGACAGATAAATAATCATCGCCCTTAAATTGTTGGATGAGTACTGAATGAGTACTGAATACCCCTTGGATGGCCAAAGAACAACAACAAAATATGCATTGGAGAAAAGCAAATGCAAGGATGGTGAAACTTCATCTCACATTCTTTGGACATGTTGTCAGAAGGGACTGATGCTTTGGGAAAGGTGGAGGGTCAGAGAAAGAGAGGAAGCCCCACAACAAGATGGGTCAACCCGGTACACTCCAGCTCATCACAGAGGATGGGGCAAGGTTCCTATCTGTTGTTCACAGGGGCGCTATGAATCAAGTTCACTGGATGGCACCTAACAGCAACAAGAAGTTTACCGGCAAGGGGCAAGATTCCTCAGGGGCGAGTTAATTTTCTTTTTTTGCTTTTCCTTTCTTCGTGATTGGGTTGGTGAAAAGAAGAAGAATGTAAATAAATGTTTACAAAAGGTAGGACTTTTTAAAAGCTGTGTTTTGGGTGTTTACAAACTTTAGTTGTTTGTTGTTGAGGTCTCCCCCCACACCCCATGAAAACCCAGAGATAACTGAAGACAATATAATTTATTTATCATTTATATTTCCTAAACAGGAAAAGTAGATTCTGTCATTTGGCTGGTAAAATTAGTTGGTTAGAGCATGGTGATAATGGCAAAATCTCAGCTTAATTCCTGTACAGGCTGGCATTTAGTTCTTAAAAAAATTTTTTTAAACAGTAAAGTGAAAATTACAATTCAGATTTTGTTTTGTAGTGTTGTTTTGTTTCTTTTTAAAATTGTTTTGCTTTGTTTTTTTACTTTGTAGAAGAGTTAAACAACTGAGTTCCTTACGCCTTTCAAGGAGCTTCCTACAGGAGCTCCTTAGGTCAAAATTAGTGATCTGTCCACTGTGCTCTCCCTCAAGTTCTTGAGCAGTTTGGTATATATTCGGGATTTTTCAGAGAAAAGGTAAAAATGTTCATTTGAAAGTATTTCTATCTTTTTTAGTTAGACTCACGAGATTTGCAAAAGGTAAAGTTCTGCATTTCTGCTTAAGGTAGGGCTTTCCTCTTTTTTTTATGCATCAGAGAGTTGGACAATGACTTAAGGAGGATAGAAGGAGATTTGATGCCTTTGAGCTGTGGTGCTGGAGAAGAGTATTGAGGGTACCATGGACTGCTAGGAAAACAGATTCATCCTGGAAAGGGTTAAACCAGGTGGCTCCCTGGAGGCAAGGATTCTAAGGCTCCATCTAACATACTTTGGACATGTTGTAAGGAGGGACAGGTCCTTGGAGAAGGACATCATGTTTGGGAGGGTGGAGGGACAGCGCAGGAGGGGAAGGCCCTCTATGAGGTGGATTGATTTAGTGACTGGGGTAATCGGGATGGGTGTATCGGAGACAGTGCGATTGGCATAGGACAGAGCAGAGTTTAGGGCTGTTGTACATAGGGTCGCTATGAGTCGCAAACGACTCGACGACACATAACAACAACAACAACAACAATGTACCTGATTAATTATAAGCTCCCCAAGACAGGTAAGTAATAAAGGTTTCAACTTTTTGTATAGCTATGCTGTAGGAATAGCTCTTTTAAAAAGTAAATTTAAAAGGCCTGGTTTACACTTGTGGCTAGTTAGCTCAGTTGGTTAGAACATGATGCTAATAAATTCAAGGTCGTGGGTTCAATCCCCGTACGGGCCACTCTGAGACTGGGTAGTCAATTTGGAAGCATTCTGTTTGGGCAATCTGTTTCTTTGAATAAATAAATATATATATTCTAATATTTTATAATGCATTTATTAATCAGATATTATAATCTTTCTCTTCTCATTTTCAACCATTTTAAAATGTTCTAACTTTTAAATAAGGCTTTCAAGACACAAATTTTATAAAGTTCCTAACTTTCTGTAAAGCACCCACTCCTCTCATTTTCAGGGTAATTTATTTCTAAAATTTGTGGCAACACTTGTTTTCTGTAGATGTGAGATGGAGCTATTACGGAAATATGTGAGAATTTTAAGTAACTGTCACAAGTGGCCAATTCTTTTGAACTTCATTTGTTAAGTGTCACCGACCACCCGACCACGGTCGTGACAAGAAACTCAAGGGGTTTCTTGGTGAAGAGCAGGTGAGGGACGAAGTCGGCGAAAATGAGAGTCTGCACACCAGGATGATGTAGAGAGCTCTGATTTATTATGCTAAAAGCTTGCTTTTTATACATTTAAACTTGTTTAAACTTGACTTATAGCCAACATTTTGTGATTACAAAGCTCACATAAGATTTTAACCAAAAAAAAGTATTTTCTATTACTAAATAATAGCATCGGCTATTAAACATTCTTTGAACAAGAAACACAATGACCTTATGTTGGTCATCTGCTAGACAATGGTTAATGGTTTACATTTCACTTCCTTTCCTCTCCTACTTTGTGTCACTGTATTTTAGCTACCTTTGTTTTTGCCTTTGTACTCATATTTGTACTGTACCTAACAAATCTTAACATCTATTTTCCTACACTCCGGACCATTCCTATGTTTAACAATAGCTTTTGCAACTTGTTTCATGAGATTTTAATTTGTTTCTGTTTGGCAATGTGCACTAAGACTTCCTTTAACTTGTTTTTACCAAGTTAACTTGTAATATTCAATTCTTTTTCCTTGGAATATAAAACGTCTGTATAAGGAAGAGGTACTGGTGTTGGAGTTGGCAGGACATATGGTCCTTTATAAGTACTTTCTTCCCACCACCTGTTATTTATCTGGTAATATTTCCTATTTCTTAAAGAGACCTTTACTTTTAGAGAAGTTTGTCTTTTGAGTCTTTTCTTAAACCTCTCTGTTTTATTCTCATTAACTATGACTTTCTGCTGTTGAAACTAGTCTAAACTTTCTCCTAATATACAATG